GGGGGGGTGCCGTCAGCACGGGGCTCAGGGAGAGATCAGATATGGGGAATCAGGGAGGGAATCAGGGAGGGGCCCAGAGTTTGAGGGTGAGGGTTCAGTGAGGGGCCAAGGGGAGGACCCAGAGCTGGGGGAGGGGGTCAGTGAGGGGCCCAGGGAGAGATCAGAGATGGGGAATCAGTTAAGGGGCCCAGGGGAAGGGCTATGAGTTGTAGAGCTGCTGAGATTTCCCTTTATCCCTGTTTGGGAGAGAAGGAGCCCTGGAAGAGGACAGGGAGGAGGGGGAAGGCCAGAATGGCCATATACCTCTGGGGCAGCTCAACTGTGTCTGTTCCTTTCTAAGCCTGTTCAAAGAACCCAGCTCTTACTGTTTCCCTCTAAGCGTGGCATCCCCTTCCCTCAGGTGGACAGTTTAGAGAGCATGCATGCGTGCACGTATGTGCGCGCGCACACACACACACACATACGAACACACACGCACACATACACGCACACACGGCAGGGACTCTCCCGGGTCTGGCACAGGATGCCCCACACGGGCACGACTCACCAGGACCTGCTTCGGGCAGCCATTCAGCTCTGGCAGTTGTGTGGTCAGGCAGGCCAGAGGGCCGAGAGCACAAATGATAGAATCAAGAAGAACCGAAAGACTTCCAGAAACGGCCACCATCCCCTGAAAAGAAGGGCCACAGACGTCAGTCGTTTCCTCATCGTTCGGCTGGTCTCCTCCTCAGGTGCTGTAGGTCCCAGGCTGTTCCGAGCACAGAAAGCGTAAGGTGTGGCGTGATGGATCCTCGGATGGTCTGTTGTCGTCTGTGGCCCTGTGGGTCCCACCTGTATCCTGCCCCATGGTCACTAGGGCCAGGAATCAATGCCTCGCATTCTGAGGGTGGTGCAGTGGAGAGAGCAGCGACGCGGGCATGAGAGCCTGGCTGCCAGGCCTGGTGCTGCCCTTCATGAGCTACGTGACCTTGGGCAGGTCCTGGCTCTCTCCAAGCCCGTTTCCTCGAGAGTAAAATGTGAGTAATACTTACATCGTTTGAGGTGTTGAAGATGTCGGGAGGATACGACGCCGGGCAAAGGCCTTTGGGATGTGCCTGTTCAGTGAGGTACGGGCACCGGCTGGCCCCTGCTCCCTCCACCTCCCACCTAGGTCAGGGTGACAAGGCCCCAGCCACATCACTAAGACGCAGAGTTGTTGCACCCAGACTGGAGGAGGCAAGGAGCAGCGGGCCTGCTTCTGTCACTGGGGACCATCTGGCTGGCCCTCTCTTGGTTTTAATTTTCTTATCTAGGAAACAGCAATCATTCTATAAAATGTGCAGGGGTATTCCAAGTTTATCCCGTGTGCCACTTACATGCCTGTTGGACGCTCCACGGAACAGACACTGTGGCCACAGAATGCTGCTATGTGAATGCCAACCATTCCTGCCCACCCTTCTGGGGCGTTAATGAGAGTGGTCTAGGTGGTGTAGGGATTCGGAGTCAGAAGGCCACGGTTTGAATCCTGCCCTAGACCCTTGCTAGCTGTGTGACCCTGGATAAGTAATTTCACCTCTGCCTCAGTTTCATCTGTGAAATGTGGATAATGATGGCACACACCTGCCAGGGTCATTGTGAGGGTTAAAGGAGATAATGTTAGTCAAGCACTATGTCAGCCTTCAAAGCACTCTGTAGGCTGGCCCTTCTCATCACCACCACCGTCCTCCTCCACGCAGCCTTGCCTCATTGCCTGGTTTTAGGACAATGGCCCGGACTGGGTTCAAGCCCCAACAAGGCCAGGTCCCTACCTGTGACTTTCCCCACATCATGGTGGGGGTCACTGCTGGCTCTTTCTACTGAGGTCAGCTGCTTCTCAGGGGACAGATTTTTTTCTTGGCATCAGGGCAGGCCCTGTCCCCATCTGGCCCATGCTCTGCCTGCTGTTTGCAGGGAGTGCTGGGCAAATGCTGAGGGGGACAGGCAGTACACCCTCCCCGGGCCAGAAGTCAACGTGTGCCCTGGACCCTGGGCCAGCTGGGGGTACGTGCCTATGCCTGAATTTGGTAGTGGGATGTAACACTCCTAATAACCTGCAGTGAGCCTCTAGAACCAAGGGAACAGAGATTTAATGGCATGCCAGCCATCGGAGTGGAGGGCACCGAGGGACCTCTAAGATCTTGGAGAGTGAAGCCCAACCAGGGCAGGGACTGTCCCACTGGCTTTACATGACACCGTTTTTACTTCTTTCCTAGGGGAGAGGACCGGCCACCTCACGCTGGGGCAACCTCACCAGAACATGTAAAGGTCACTGGCATCGGGCAGCCCCTGGAAAATCCAGGAAACAGACACCCGACTTTCCTGGGACTGAGGATAAAAGTTATCCAGCCCTCAAATCCTTCTGTCTTTCTAAGGCCCCAGGTCAACCACTGTATTCATCTGCTGGATAAAGTTCATAATGACTTCAACTGCCTCCCAGAAGTAGCTGTGTCTTCTATAAGCTTAGGAGGATTTCCTGGCTAAAGAATGACAATCATATTGAGAGAACTGATAAAATCGTTCAAGTCCTCTAAAGAAACCCATCAGAAGGCTCAAATGCAGAGTCAGTCAAGGAGGGAGATCTGGTGAGAAGTTGTAAGGAACAGTGAAGGCCCTCGCTCAGGACTGCATGAAGCAAATGTACAATTAGTTATATCACAGATACCTCCAATGATCGACTCTCCCAATTTAAGCCTTTTGAGAAGCACAGAATTTAGGAAATTAGGAATTAGGAAAATTCAGACTCTCTAAGATCAGATTATAACCTTTGGTAACTGAGGGGTCCGAGCCCCTAGGCTGTGAGCAATCACCCCAATATTGGCATTTGCTTTGACAAAGGCAGAAGAAAACTCACTGCAGGAAATTATGAGGATTTTAGAGCAAGTACCAGAAAGGCACAACCAACTGTCCTGGCCTTGACAAGCTTACCAAGTGGCAGCAACCCCACAGTAGCCCCCAGGGTTCACACCAGGAGCCCCGACCCCCTGACTCCCAGTGTGGTCCACGCTGCCCCTGCCTAACATGAGGGTGCTTCTTCTGGTTGCTTTGGTTTAAAACAAGCCAGCCTAGTGCAGGCTCCGTTAGCCAGGAAGCAGAGGCTAATCATTCCCAGAGTCCCCAGGACCGTCCTCTCACGTCCTGAGCCCATGCTTATCGAGCGCCCTCTCTGTGCCAGGCACCAGGGACACAAAAGGAGGAAGAGCAGGTCTGCCTTCACTGAACTTACAGTTTGGCAGAGGGTTAAGACAAGCATCTACATGATTCTAACCGAAGACAGAATATGAGGGTCCGAAGAAAGGTACAAACAAAATGCCATCACGCCCTGGAGGAGCACGGCTTCGTGGTGAGGGCAGTGCTATGGACAATGCCAGTAATGGTGGGAAGGAGACAGTCCCTGAGGAAGGAAAGTTCAGGGCGAGGCCACGGAGAGGAAGGCCTCCAACTCAGTGGGCAAAGACTGTGGGCAAGGAGAGGGTCTAATCAAAGCTGTGTTTTAAGAAGATGAATCTGGGGGCAGCTAGGCGGCGCAGTGGATAGAGCTCTGGCCTTGGAGTCAGGAGGACCTAAGGTCAAATCCAGCCTCAGACACCCTGGGCAAGTCACTTAACCTCGACTGCCTCAAAAAAGATGAATCTGGCAGGGAGGGTCTTCATGGAGAATTACGATAGGTCGTGGACACTGAGGAGGGGGATGTGGTCATCTGGAAGTCAAGGGTGACCTTTGAGGAACCACTTTCTCAAGTGGTAAAGCAGAGGCCGGGCTGGAGGGAAGGGGATGCGCCAAGAGAAGCTGGCTGAGGCCCGCCACCGTCCTCACCTCTGTTTCTTGCAGGCGGTGACCGATGAGGCTCAGCGATTCCCCTAGGAGTTGAAGGTGTGCAGCTACGTCGATGGGATCTGTCTCGGGGACCTTGGCTGGGGAGGAAGGTGACACTACCGTGCTGGAAGGGGACTTTTTATGAGGCGACATCACTCCAGCAGGAGAAGCTAAGGCCAAAGGAGGAAAACAGGGAGATGAGACTTGGCTACCCAACTGGGCACCACGGACAGGGACGGGCTTCCCCATCCCCCTTCCGAGGCCTTTCTAGCCCCCACTCTGGCCCCTGCACGTGGAGGAGGCTTTTCTGCACTCCACCTCCCACCCTAACCCGACCGCTCAGCGGAGGCCACCATCGCTCCCACCTTTGACTCTCACGGCCCCCTCGGAGCCGGCGGCCGCCTTCCTCTTCACCGTGGTGGCCTCGGCCTTATTCTGTTTGTGCTGGAGGTACTGGGCCTTCTGCTTCCAGACCTGCGCAGACAGCAAGGGTGGGTCAGTCACAGGCAGAGGGAACAAGAGGAAAGAGGCAAATTAAAGCTGGCCCACTGGACTCAGCCAGGAGGCCCAAGCTGGAGGCCCAGGGATGAGCCTCACACAGGGCTGACTACAGGAGGGAGACCCTGGGTGGTGGGGATCTTGTGAGACGGATTGTCAAAACGAAAGCCGGACTTTCAGCTCATCTGGGGGCTGTATTGTAAGTTCATCTTTTACAGAATTCGCAATGAAGAGGAGGGATGGTGGGGCCAGGGCCCGTGGCTAATCTACCCCGATGAACAGCGTCCTCCTCCCATGGGAGTTTTGGAGACAGTAGCTTCGGCAGCAAGGAACAGCTCCGGGCTCAGGCAGATTTAATCTCCAAATGCAGAATTAGTGTGTTCCTCGCTTTCACTGCTCCCCATAGCTAGAATCCCTCTCCCTTCTAAAATCTTATTTTCCTTCAAGGCCTGACCCTAACTTTGCTTTCTGGAGCTCTCATACAGCGCTTTCTGTCTCTCTGATTCCTCTACTGTCTTCTCCTCTGTGCTGTGGCTGTGGCAGAGGCTGTGAAGAGGGGGTGGGGGCTGAGAGTGAGGGGACCTGGGGCCAGCCTCGCTCTGACTGTGATCAGCAGGGTGGCCCTGGGCAAGCCGGGCACTTCCCTGGGCCTGGTTTCCTGATCTGTAAAGTAGAAACAATGATAATAATAATTTATTATCTACCTCACAGTGTTGGTTGTTGAAGGGGAAATGTCCTATAAATCTGAAAGCATCCTAGAAATATGAAATATGTTATTACTATTGCAAGTTCCATCCAGGCAGGGGCCTCCTTCAGTCCACGGTACTTTGAACACAGTGGCCAGTAATAAATGGCTGCTGAATGAATGCTTGATGGAAAAATGAATTAATATTTGCTCTCTGATCATTAGATGGTTCCTGACTCTGGAGAGAGGAGCCCTGGCTTAAACTTTCCACCCCTAACAAGTGCGCCAGGGGCCTCCCTGGGACTGCCTTCCCTTGATGAGGTTACTTGCTCATCTGCACAAATGGGTGATTCCCACTCTGCCCCGGCACGGCAGCCCACCACTATTTCAGGGTTAGGCAGGGGCTCCACAGCCACCCAGCTTGATGCAGATCTCGTCTGTGGTGACACACCTCTGCTCAGGGCCTGGACCGTGCACCGCCATCAGGGCTCTCTCAGACCATGCTCTCTGACCTCTAGACTCTCTCTCCCCAGAAGCTGAGCCTTTTAGGCCCAAAGACCCTTTAAAATAGGCAGTCCAGACACTAAGGAGTGTGAGACTGTGGCCCTGGGCCTGGATGAACTACACTCCAGGATACAGAGAGAACCTGCATGGGACCGTCTGGCTTCTGTCAGAGACGTCTGTTAAGTGTGTGGAGAACCGGAAGAAGGGAGAAGCCCTGAGGCAGATACTTTTTTTTTTTTAAAGGGAAAAGGATGGTGCCTTGAAACCAGAGGCTGTTGAGCTGGACTTTAGTTTGGGGCAGAATTCTAGCCGGTCTGACTCCTAGGGAAGGATTGTAAGCACTTAGCTGAGGTCTACAACAGGCTCTTGGCTAAGCCCTGGGAGGAGCCTGACCCTGTCCATTTCCCATGTGCTCACCTAAGGCCCTCCTCAACATGAGAGCCAGACCCTGCTTCAGTGGCCAGGATTTCAGCACCCACCCATGACTACCGCTGGGGAGAGAGCCGCCTACCTTCAGCAGCCACTCCCACTGCCTCTGTGGTAGCCCTAGGGCCTGCCCTCCAGTTACCTCCTCCCCAAGTAGTAAGAGAAGGAAGAAGTCACTAACAGCCGGCATGGTTTCAGGTCATGACACATTATTCTGATTTCCTTTGATGACAGGCTAATTGCTAGGCTGGCAGTCCAGTGCCACAGACACAGCGTTCCTGCAGTTTAGCCGGGTACTGAACAAAATCGCTCCATATATTCTTATGAATGAAACGTGGGCTAGATAGGAGCACAGTTAGCTGGATCTGGAGATTTGGAACTGATTTAATGACTAGACCTAAAGAGTTAATAGGCTGCTGAAGACCAGGAAAATGGGTGTCTGCTGTAGCACTGCAGGGATTCCCCTTGGCTCTGGGCTGGTCGCATTTTTATCAATGATTTTGAGAGAGGGATGGATGGGACGCTCACCCCATATGAAGATGACATAAAATGGGATGGGATAAGCAAAAGGTGGGAGGCCAAGGTCTTTAACCTGAGCTAAGTCACAAGCTCTACAAGCTTCAAAGTTCTCATCTGTCAAACAGGAACGATGTGTTTCCTTATGTCCCTCCTTGGGCTGTTGTGGGAAACCAACACAGAGCTGGATGACAGTGCCCATGAAAAAGAAATGGGGCCGTTGGTGGACAGCAAGACCAGCCCAAGTCCACAGTGCATGTGACCCAAACAATAGCACAAGGGACTGTTCTGAGGAGGCTGCTCTGGGGTGGGCTGTGGTACGGTCCAGAATGAACCCCTGGTCAGGGTCTGGGATGAGGTGGGGGCTGGAGAGCACAGCACAGGAAGATCTTCTGGGAGCAACTGGGGATGGAGAAAGGAGGCTGCGGGAGGATAAGGGGCTGCCCTGAAGGAGGATCGGACATGCTCTGGGTGGCCCTAGGGACAGAATGGGAAGCAGGGGATAGAGGCAGCAAAGAGGCAAACTGAGGCTTGACATATGGAGAAATGCCTTAACAACAGCATGGCCCCAAAGTGTACTGGGCCCCCATCACAGTGACCACTGCAGTGGTGATGCAGTGGGGCTTTCTGTCCAGGTGGTGTTGGCCTTGGGGTCTGCACGATGGGGGACATTCCCCTTCTCAGAGGCTCAGTTTCTTTATCTTTACTATGGGAATAACAATCTGCAGGCTGCTTCCCTCGCGGGGCTGCTGTAAGAAAAGTGCTCTGCAGCCTAAACGGCATGGGGTCTTTGCGCTGTCCTGCCCCAGACTGGGGGTCCCTTCCAGTCCTGCTCTTGCCATGCTGCTCGTCCCGAGGCTCGGTCGAGTCACTCCTTGGGTCATAGAGCGTGGGGTGAACCCGACTCGAGGGGAGGACGCAGGGAAAGGCAGACTGCAGAGGACAGCCTCGGCTGCTTCCTCACGCTAGCCCTAAATGCGCTGCCTTTTCAACCAGTCTCAGTGCAGTGAGGGCGCGTGGCTACCCATCACAATGACTGTGCTCTCCAAGGAATCAAGGTTGTGGTTGCCCAAAGGAGTGGGCACAGGCAAGACGTGGTCATCGACATGGATGCCCAGAACAGGAGGGGCTGAGGGAGCACCAATGGGCAGAACCCTGTTCAGGGTCAGAGGAAGGCCCCCACTGCCTTGGGCTCATCCTCGAGGGGGGATTGATGGAAGGATGTAGGTCAGAAGCAGGCAGGCTGAGAAGGTGCAGTGAGGCCACGAGCTCCCCCGCTGGAGACAGGACTGCCATCTCCAAGACCAAGACCCAGTGCAGCTAACGGCCTCACACCCGAGGGCTCTAAGGTGGGGGCTTGTTGCCACAAGGTTCTGGCCACAAGTCTGCCGAGGCGTGGAAAGCTATGAGCTTTCTTAGTGGAGAGAAGACCCAGACCAAGTTATCCAAAACGCTTTTGAGAGGCAGCATGGCAGTGTATAGCATAGGGCATTGGACCTGGAGGTGGGAGGCCCTGGGTTCAAATCCAACCTCAGACTTACTGGCTGTGGGCCCTAGGCAACTCATGTCATGCCCCCAGTCATCCTTCTCTTCCTATAAAATGAGGAGGCTGGATTCAAAGACCTCCAGCTCAAGGGGGCCACGAAATGACTTAGCTCTGGTAGGAAGAGTATCGCTCCTCCAGTGGCTCACCAGGGCTTGACGGCCACGCCAAGGGATGGCGTGTTCCGGCTGGCTCGCACTCGGCCTCTGTGCCCACCACCACCACCCCGCATCTGCGAGCCGAGGCTAGAAGGGGCTCACAGCCCCCTGAGGAAGCCAGGGTTTTTAGGAGTATTCCAACCACATCAAGCTGCTAAACGATCACTCGGACACTTACCAGTTTGTCTTTTTCTGGCAGCTGTTTCCATACTTCAGCCAATTTCTTGCTTAGTTCCCCAAAATCTGGCAAAAAAGAAAAAAAAAAAAGAAAAAAGGTAACTACCCAATATGGGTAAACAACTCCTTTAAAAAAGGAAAAAAAAAATACATGACAAAAGTATGTATAAGCAGACTTGAAATGCCACTTGTCTGTCTCTGGATGAAATGCACGGGCCGCCAGCCCGGCTCAGAGAGAATCTCACACCAAATCCCTGAGGAGCCTGGCTCCCCAAAGTTCTCTCTCTTTACCACATCAAACAAACCCATAATAACAGGACTTTTCAACTGATGCTTTCACACAAAGAAGGAATCTCTTAGGCCGTTCTCTATGGGCAAGTGCCTGAGAGAACAGAACCAAAGAAGTTTCTCTCCATCATCCTGTCTCAAAACCAATCACCCCCCTAAGCACATCTGAGCTTGTACTAGAGCACCTCCCATCTCCTAAGGAACTTTCCCATCAGCACCTCACATGATCCTCACAACCACCTGCGAGGCAGGCAGGCAGGCAGCTTTCAGATGAGGGAGCTGAGGGTCAGAGAGCTTTGGTGGGCTCCCCCAAGCTCACCGAGGCCAGTGGTGGAGCCAGGGCTGGAACCCAGGGCTCCTGACTTCTCCTGGAGGGCTTTTACCACTATGCCAGCTGCCTAGAAGGGACAGAGAAAATGACTCTCTATGGCAGTGGCTTGCACTTTGACCCCTACAGCTAGGTCACGCGGACACAGGCAAGCACGAGGACGTGATACCAGTCATGTAACAAACAGCTCCAGACCAGGTCCTCCTAAGTACGAAAAGTCTGCAGCAGCCTCCTGGAGAGCAAAGACCAATACTTATACACGCTCCCACATAAACGTTGATATCCTTTGGGCACTTCTATGCTGGACTACCCTCTACTTATAAAATAGGAATTTAACATTTCAGATGCTAATCTGGCCTACTTAAGTAACATTAGAACTAAAGAAGGAAACTGATTTGGCGTTCTTCCCATTGCTACACCCCTTGGCATCCCTACAGGGTGTGAGGAGGTGGTCTGTGCCAGGGAGACTCGTTGGGAGGCCCAGGGTCAAAGGGGAGGTGTGTCCTTACCTATTCCTGGGTGCTCTGCCACGATGGTGACCCGGTACTCCTTACAGAACACCTGGTAGGCAGACATGTTCTTCTTCTTTGGCTAGCCCCAGAGAGAAAAGAGAACAGGACGAGACATAATTAGGACGCCGACTTAGAAACCTGGGACCCAAGGGGACAAAAGAGAAAGGATTTTTGTGCTTTTCCATCAAGGGAAAGGATTCTAAATGAGGGTTTTCACTGAGAGCCCAGAAGTCAATGTTATATAATAGGTTATAATCTCCTTGAAATTATGGATCATGTATCATTTGCACCCCCCTCCCAACACCTAGTCCAATACTTGGCCACATAGGACACAATTAATGTTTGCTGAGTGAATGAAGGAATCCCTTTGGACCGTAAGCTCCTTGAGGGCAGGGACTGACTTGTATCCCAAGTGTTTAGCACAGTGCACATAGCACTAGCACATAATAGGCACTTAATAAATGCTTACTAACTAAAATGAGGTAGATTTAGGACTGAAAACACAAAAGACACAAAACCTGCTAACTTTTCTCAAAAGCACAGTTATTACATGTTCGTCATACCTCAGAGAGGGATCTGTTAAAGGTACCAGGTTCATGATTTCATCAAATGGCAGGGGATGGGGGGTATGTGTCAGATTATTTTATCTACAACATTGCTTCGTCTCTGACATTTTATGCATTGAAACATACTGTACATTTTAAAATAGTGGGTCCCCCCCAGATTAAACTGTGCAGCTACATTAGGAAACTAAATGATGATTTAGTTGTCCTTGTGAAGTAAAAATGAACCACCTCCAATTCAACAAGCATCATGCTGGGCACACGGACAAGCTCCGCCACCAAAATCTGAAGGCACCAAAATCTGAAGGCACCGCCATTGCTTCATTTAAACAAAATGAGAAGATTCTGCATTCTGGGTCTTTTTCGTGATTAACAAATGCTACTTTAACTGAACAATCACCACCACAATAGCTAGCATTTACATAGCACTTTAAAGTTTGCAAAGTGCTTTATAAACATTTTCTCACTGGATCTTCACAACAACTGTGGGAGGTAGCTGCTATCTCCATTTGACATAAGAGGAAACTGAGGCAGATGGGGATAAGTGACTTGCCCAGGGTCATACCATTAGTAAGCATATGAGTTGAATTTTAATTCAGGTAAATTGAATGTATTTTCCTCTATGTAAATATACTAAACTTCGAATACTGAATTTGGTATTTGCCTTCTTGTTTATTCATGAATTGGGGAAAAATCCCCCAAACACATAGGTCTGCATTCCTGCTTTCTCAATTCACTTAAATTGACTGACTTCTCACTCTTGAAAGAATCACACATCTGAACAAGACTTTAGTAGGAGGTCAGCTAATCCAACCGTCTCATTTTATGTATTAGGACACTGAAGCCCAGAAGGTGAAGGGCCGTCCTCCAGGGAGTAGAGAGGTGATTCCAATCTGAAGTCAGGGCTCTCTCTGTTCAGGAGGCCATCTTATGCTATCAATCATTACTTCAATCTCACCTTTGTCCTTCCTACTCCAGAATGATGCTGACTCCCATTCCAATATTCTTTCCACCACACCTCAAAGGAAGAAAACACTCTTTTCTCCACTGGTAGAAAAAGCTTCCGAATGTTAGAAAAGAGACTGTCATTTCACTAGTCTCTGGTGATTTGAGGTACTTAAGGAACTTCTATCAGTTAAGTGGTTTAGCTTTCTGTAAAAATTAGTAAATGCTGGGGCAGCTAGGTGGTACAGTGGATAGAGCACTGGCCCTGGAGTCAGGAGGACCTGAGTTCAAATCTGGCCTCAGATACATAACACTCACTAGCTGTGTGACTCTGAGCAAGTCACTTAACCTCAATTGCCTCACATTAAAAAAAAAATTAGTAAATGGGTGTTGTGTCACCACAAAATGATGGACTGATTTAAAAAAAAAAAACAACAAAACCAAACCACCAGCACGTCTGCATCTGCTTGAATGCTGCGTTTCAGAGCAGTCCCCTGGCAAGATCATGAAGGTACCCATTCCCATGATGGTACTATTGCTCATAAGGTGATGTAACCCACCTTTGGGAACTGCCTTCAGAGAATGAGAATCCCAAGATGTGACGGATGCCCTCTTTTCTACAGACTCTAAGAAAAGGTCATTTCCCAGGCTGATCATCTCCTTCGTACACCAGGTTTGGCACCTATGACCCTCGTTCTTTCCCCAAAATCCACCGACTTTGTCAGATTTGATCTTGTTTTTACTAGTATTTTTTGTTTCTAGATCACATTCTTTTCAGAAAAGATCCCTTCTTCCTCCCCATCCCGGGAACTATCCCTTGTAACAAAGCCAATCTATTTTCAGAAGGTGAAAATTCAAAAGAAATGATCTACCATAGCACATAAAAGACTGGTATAGATCCGATTACAAAGAAATACAAAGCAACTTGAATAGCTGGAGGAACAGTCGCTGTTTTTGGCTTGGCCATGCCAATGGAATAGAAATGTAAAGTGATAATATGACCAAAGTTAGTTTAAACATTTAATTTTACACCAATAAAATTATCAAAGGTTCATAGAACCTGTTAAAACAACAAAATTTATTTGGAAAAAGTAAAAGATCTAGAATATCAAGGGAAATGCTGAAAAGAGGTAGGGATAAAGAAGGAATAGCATTTCCAGACCTCAAACTATATCATGAAGCAGCAGTCAACATAACCATCTGGTATTGGTTGAAAAACAGAGGTAGATCAACAGATTAGACAAGGGGGAATCAGAAACAATGGAGCTACCTGGTGTTCAATGGAACAAAAGCTGTACATTACTTGGGCAATATCTCCCTCTGATACAAAGTGCTGGGAAAGTGGGAGAGGTGCAGCCTGGCAGCAATAAGGCTTAGATCAGCACCTTCCACCACACTCCCCAATACATTCTAAATGGAAATGTGACCCTAATATTGAAGATCATACCGTAAGAAAAATGAGAAGAGCAATAGTCTACAGACTTCTCACAGATCCGGGCAGGAGACGGATTCTTAACAAAATAAGGGATGGAGGCAATTACACAGACAACATTAATACACCGAGGCTAAGAAGAAAAGTGGGTGGATGGGAAAAAAATTTTATATCAAATTTCTCTGATAAGGGTTTGGAATGCAAGATGTATAAACAACGAACAAAGACAGATACACACACAAACATATATATACATATGTATATTTGTTCATGTCACTGACAATACTTTTTCAGTGGTTTATGTTTTAACCCGGGTATCAAGAATTAAGAATAATGGCAAGAAAAAAAGCCTATCACATCTCTATATACAGTTTTTATGAAAAGGCTATTGAAAATTGTCTTAGACGCTGTATACTGTAAATAGAAATCTTAATCCCTACTCCATTACTCTGAGCTTTTACCTAAATTAAAACTTAAGTCTAAAAATTACCAATAATATCTTAACATAAAAATTAATCTAAATAAAATCCAATTATTAAAAAAAAACCTTAATTTTGTATCTCCTGGCTGGAATGCCTGAACCTAATCTTCACATGGCAAGCAGCCAGGAGTCCCTCACCACTTTTTCTAAAAAGACTCCTTCCAATTTTTCTTCTGAGAGTATAATCCAGAATGAGACACACTGTTGCCAAGAATCACCTTTGAAACATCTCTTGAATACAAAGTGGAAGTTATTCTCAACACCAGGCTGGAAGAAGCTGGGAGGGGCACAATTTGTATGAAACTCAAAGCACTTTGGCAGGGAAGAAAGAGTGAGAAAAGAATGAAAAGAGGAAAAACACTGGAGACAAGGGAAAGCAATTTCCAAGCTCATTAAATAATGAACTTGTTAACACTGGCAGCAAATCTGGCCCAGGTCCAGGGGATTGTCAGATGCGTGGCCCTGACCCTGACACAAGAGGTCCCTTTGGTTTCCCTTCCTGGCGATGCGCTCACCTGCCTGTTCTGGGGTTGAGGCACCCAGCACCTGTAATGTCTCTAGTGACTGACCCCCCAGATGGCAAATCCTGAGTCTGGTTTGTGGAGACAGTTCCAAAGATGTGGGTGGACCAACAGCTAGAACCATCGAAGTTTCTTTCTGTGACACAGTGGAGAACTCAGGCTTTGGAGTGGGAGGACCTGGGTTCAGATCCTGCCTCTCTCACTACCTTAACCTCCTTGGGGCCCAGTTTGGTCATCTGTAAAGGGGGTTGGCTAAGATGACCTCTGCGGTCCTCCCAGCCCCAGATCTATGACCCTATGAGGCCTTCCAGACACGTGATAACACGACAACAGTAAAAATCTGGATGCCTCCCCAAGGACGGCCAAGATCTGGGGAGTGAAGGGCTAATTGTTATAAACAACAGAATGGCCAACAGTTCAAACTTCTTTGGAAGGAAATCACTTAACAAGGCTACATCCTCCTGTCTTTTCACTCTCTCCTCTCCTGCCTCCTTTCTTCCTTCTGCTGTCTTCTGTGGGTGTGAGTCCCACGCCCCTGGACCTGATCTCCTTCTTGCCTGCCCAAGGACCGCTCTGGGCCCATCCTCACCAGAAGCATCCTCATGAGGAGTCCAGCACCGCTGGACTGTGCTGCTGCCAGGCAGAGCCCAACTCCCACACCCCCAGTTCTGCTGTCTCTGGCTGAGGTTCTCCCTCCTCCCCTACCCTCAGTAACCATTTTTGAGTGCCGCTGTCTGAGTGCCTGTCTCCAGCAGCCTCAGCCCCCTTGGGCTGCTCAGAGGGCACCTCCAAAGGGTTAACATTCTTGGGGACATCTTCTGGCTCTTCTCACCTCTCATCTCCCACATCTAATCAGCCTCAGTCACAGGCCCTGCTCCTGTCTGCCCCAGTTCGGGCCCTCGTGTCTCCTGAACAGCATTGTCCACGACATACAAGACACAGCTGTTAATCTTCTTTATCCACAGGCATGATGAGGCCCCACTCTGGCTCCAAACCCTTCAATAACACCTTAGTATTTACTGAATAAAGCTCCGATATATTAATGATAACCTGGGACGTCGGGCCTTCCAGCACTGCCTCGTGCTTCCACAGCCGCATTTCGTGAGGTATCAGGGTGCCAGCTGTATGAATGTACGTGTGCCATGATTTCCTGCCCACGCCACTCCTGATGTCCTCATCTCACAGAGTTTTGGCCTCTCTAAGTCAGAAGGAAGCTCTGCCATCCTTGACGACGACTCCTTCTGTGGAGACAGGACACTACGGGCTCACGAGGTGAGCTGTCTTGCTTCTGGGGGCACGGCGAGTTCTTGGCAGAGACAGACGACACCTCCTTCCAGGCAGTGTTCTCTCATTCTCCCCCTCTCTGCACTCTCCCCCTTGGACATCCCATATGTGGCTGTAGAGAGACTTCTCTTCCAGAGTGACCATATTCCATTCTGAATCAATCATTTGGTTCTGTGTCCCCCTAGCAGATAATAAGCTCCATGAGGGTAAAGACCATGTCCTGTTTATCTCTATACCTTCCCCAGCACATAGCACAATGCCCTGTATACAGTAGTACCCTAATGTGTGTTTATAGAATTAGGCTGAACTGATCAGAGTACGGAGCTTCCTTACTTAGAATATGCTGATAAATAAATTACTTTGAAGGGACATAGGACAGCAGGTATTTAATGAATGTTTGTGGAATTAAAAAAAAAAACCAACCCCAAAAAACAAACATAGCAAATGTGATCCTTTTCAAGCATCTCCAATGCTTCCAGGCCCACACAATGCTTTACTTGACAGAAAGGAATACAGTAGCAGCCACAGTAGGTGCTGAACTTTAAACCACTTCTCAAAAGGCATCCTGAGATTCTGAAGTCACCATCACCTGAGGCAGTACTGTCTTCAGGAAGGACTAGCCTGTGGGGAAAAGGCACCTAGAACCCATTTCTATCTCTGTCATGGATATACCACGGCCTTTTGTGACCATACTGCCTCATGCCTCAGTTTCACCAGTGAATGGATAATATAATGCTATCTCAAGTCTAGTTACCCCTGGTAACCAGTTTGAATGCCAAACTGACACTTGCCTAAAAGAATATTTTATGGAGAACTCACACAGGGCAAGTGTTCACATGGTAGTCAGAGGAAGCGATCCGAGGACGCTCTCAAGGTCTCTCTTAAGAACTTTGGAATTAACTGTGTGACATGGCAGACACTGGTACAGGGCCGCCCAGCATGGCGGGCCCTCATCAGAGAAGGTGCCGTGCTCTATGAGGAAAACAGAATTGAAGTAGCTCAAAAGAAACGTGAGATGCGCCAATTTGGAGGACCCACCCACGCGTTCACATGACCTATGTGTGCCCGACCTGTGGTAGAGCATTCTGGGCTCGCGTGGGCCTGATCAGCCACAGTTAGACATACGCATGGTACCTTGACTCTGGCATAGCGATATCATTTTGGTCCTCTTTGAGAACGAAGGACAACAACCCATCAGTTACCTCCAGAGGCAGAGAATGCTGACGTTGTTCCCGAAATGTCTTAAAGTCACATACGTAATTTTGAGAGGTGAATGTTAAGCTGCTGTCTAGAGCTTACGGCTGTTAATGATTGATTAAAATGATTTTACCCTGTTCCTTAAGTGAGGACATCCTGCCTGCTCCATTTCCTATCAAAGACAAACAAATTCACTCCCCAAACTTTTCACTTCTGCTGATGACTATCTGGGAAATAATCGTGAGCTGTTTTTGGACAATTTTTCTATTCTCCACAATGTTTCCTGCTGTGCTATTTGTTCACAGGAGGTCTGGGTCAGCCCAGTCGAGGGGCTGGAGCCAGCATAAACTGTCCAAATATACCTTTCACAAGGAACTTCATCATTCTGCATTTTAACTCCTGACTGTTATCTGCCTCCACGCATCTTTGCTTCTTTTCCCCTTAATGAACCTGGTTCTTCCCTCTCAGACTCACTCTGCTCCAAAAACTACAGTACCTTTTTACCCTCTCCCCAGACCCTCCACCTCTGTCTCTGGCCTTCTCCCAACCCTGTCGTACACTGTTTCTCATCTCTATTCTCTCCCGCAATCTCCTGTTTCCTCCTTCATGGAGTGGTAGGGGGCATTCTTCTGAGCCCTTTTCCTTTCACCTACACCTTCTCCTCCACACCTATCCTCTGTGACCTAACCAAAACTGGACTCTTTCCTGAAGACACGACGCCCCGTAACATTCTCACTGTCTCCTTATTCGCTAACGCTCCTTTCAGGACATGAAACTGTTACTCTTCCTCTGTGTCTCTGCCAACGGCGAGTATCAGCTTCTCCCGATTACGGTGGGTGGGTCAGCCTCTTCACCTACTTCTGACCCCCGAGAGAAGTCAAGCCCTTGGCTCACCTCCTTCTTCCCCTCCACTGCAATGTCTTTCACTACACTTCATCCTCCAAGGTAAAGATCCTCCTGTTTCAAGGTCATGGACCTCACTGAATCCCATGACCTCCACCTCCACTGCAGCTACCCCACGGAGGCTGTGCTTTGGATTTCATCACTGAGTTCTCCACCTCTGTGAACTCCAGAGGAGTATGGCTCATCACAGCCCATAGTCTGCCTGCTTTCTGACTTTGTTTCCCTCACAAGAAGCATACAAGTCTCTAAATGCTGTCCCTCTCCCAGTACAGATCTTGGTGCCACATTCCGGGAAGAACAGCGAGTGACAAGAAGTAGGTCATCGAGAGGAGAGTGACCGGGATGGTGAGGAGAGGACAAGCCATGCTTTATGATACTGGCTGAAAGACCTGGGGATGCTTGGCCTAGAAAAGAAGATTTCATGGAGACACGGTAGCTATGTTCAGGTTTTTAAAAGGCTGCCTCGTTAAAGAGGGGTTGGCTATTCTGCCTGGCACCACAAAAGTTGAGGAAGGAGCCCCGAGATTAGAGTCAGAAAGACTGGGTTCATGTGCCATAACCTATTTGAGGCTAACCTCACTCCCTCCTCTGTGAAAAGGGAATAAAACCTGTGCCCGGCCCACCCAAGAGTGCTGCTGGAAAACCTCCAGACACTCGACAGACGAAGATGAGATTGGAATTACCAAGTCACTGGGAGTCGCGTTTCAGCTTGGTATGAAGAAAACTTCCTAACACGGGGAGATGCTCTAAGAAGGAGGGAGCTGCCGTGGGAGGTCCTACCATCCCTAACACTCTTCAAGCAGAGTTGGCTGACCATCTGTCAGAGGTCTGACCGAAGAGATCTATGCTTGGGGAGGGCTCAGACGTGGTGATCTTTGACGTTCCCTCCAATTCTAGGATCTCATTCCCCAAGTTCCTCAGTCCCTTTCTAACTAGCCACATTTGGTCAAAACTAGGAAGGGGGGCAAGACTAGGCACTTTAACTCCATGATCTCCAACACCTCTTGCCCCACTAACTCTCCTCGCCACCAACTTGTTTATCCACGTTGTCTGTTTCCTCTATTTCGAGCTTGGCCCTAGGCCTGGCCAAAGAGCAGGCGCTGCATAAATTCTTGCTGATGTCAGTCAGTCCTGGAGAGAAAAGCCCAAAACCGTGCTGACAGCCCCTCTCTACTCCGATCCGTTTCCTCGCCGTATCTTCTCCTCTCCCTTAGTGCTTCGAGTGCTAAGCCCCTCCCTCTCACTCGGAAGTCTAGTTTCTCCCACCTCCTCAATGACGTCCCCCTCTTCAGAGTATCTTCAGCCTGCCTCCACTGGCTCCTCACCTGCCCATAGACTCCCTTTACCTTGACCTGCCCTCCACCCCCTTTCCTGAACAAGGGCCCGCTCCTGCAGCCATTCGCTCAGCAGCACTTTGCACTGTGGCTTCCACCCTGGCCACTCTAAGGAAACTGCTCTGCCCAAAGTCACTGGCAGCCTCCCAGTGGCCAAATCCAGGGCCTTTCTTCAGTCCTCGTCATCCTCCATTTGCCTGGAGCACAAGACCCTGGTTATTCCTTCCTCGCTGGTCCCACACTGTCCACGCTTGCTCATTCCTTCTCTCTCTTCTCTGTCTTCCCAAGATTCTGTCCCTTGTCCTCTTCTCCTGTCTCAGAGATTCCACTCACTGATGAGGTCTCCATCTGCCACCGCCGTCTCTTCTCCTGGGCTCCAGACCTAGTTCCAACGGCCCAGCAGATGGTCCTACATCAATGTCTCACTGGCCCCTCAAGATGGTCTCTCTCCATCTCTGCTCATACCATCCTACCCTCTCCCTAACATATGCTTTTCAGATTGGTTAGGACTGTTTCTTTGTGGGAGAAGCAGCTTTGTTGTTTAAAAGGTAACCTTTACAAAGAAGAAAACGACTTTGTGCTACTTAAATATGGAGGTGAATGGAATTTCTCTGACATATTGGCTGCTTTCCTGTAAAGAAGCCATTAAGGTTCCCCTGTCGTTTTGCCTTTAGCTTTTTCTACTGGACCACCCCCACCCCCCCTTCTGCAGACTGACACAGAAATGAAACTTGTGATTATATGATCATAGACTACAGAAGAGTCACTTGGCAGAAATCTCATTCAGTTTGAAGATCAAAGCCTGGTGATTTTGCATTTCAAACAATGAACGGAAAGGAAAAACAAGATAACCCCCAATCCCGCCTCAGAACATTACCTTGTTGGAATCTCCAGGAAAGACACAAATGAGTTTCATTAAGGTGACCGGTTATTACTCTAGCAATTCTGGCCAATGTTTCCACTTGATTTCTAAAAGCTGTCCCTGTTTAGATCCTGCTCTCCTGTTACCCACACCACTGCGTTACAGAAACCATCCTTGGCACTCGCCCCTGCCAGCCCAGCAGCTCTGTGGGTATGTGGTGGAAGAGTGCGTGAGTACAGACACAGTGAGTAATTGAGGAAACTCCTCTAGGCCTGGTCACCTCAGGCCAGATGCCCTGGGCTACCTTCCCCCAAGCTGGCCAATTCTTTACCTTTTCTGCTTTTTCTGCCTTCTCTTTCTCCTTCTCTTCTTTCTTCTTCTTCTTCTCGCTGTGTCCATCAGGATGGAAGACTGGTGGTGGTGGTGCAGGTGCAGCTCCTGGGAAAGGTGTGCTGGTTGGGGGCTGGGGCCCGGGCCCGGGCCCGGGGCTCGCACCTGGGGCTTCTCCCGCGGCTGTGGTCCCAGTGGAAAGTGCAGGGCTCTTCTTGGACTTGGAGTGTCGCTTCTCCTTGTGTCTTTCTTTGTCCTTCTTCTTCTTGCTCTTCTTTGATTTCTTCTTCTTCTTGATTTCCCGGTAAGAGTCGTCAATCACCAGCTCACCGGCCTCCAGCTCGGCCCCCGAGGATGAGCCCGACTCCAGGGCAGGCTCGAGGTTGGAGAGCTCATAGTCAGTGCCGTGTGGTTCTGAAAAGATGGACGCGTCAGAACCGAAGCCTTCGGGGCCAGGAGAGGGGTGCTGGTCTGAGGCCGGCTTGTGCTTCTTCCTGGCTGTTTTCAGGAAACTCTGCAGCTCGTGCCCAAGGAGGAAAGCGCCCTGCTCATCTCGAGCTGATTTCTTGGAGGACTTTTTTGTTGTCCCTTGTGGAGGAGGGTTCTGGAAAGGCTCCTCATCACCTGTCCTGCCTTCCTTCTCCTTGGGTGAGAGAATAAGTTTCATTTTTAAGCCATCTGGCTCTCGCAGGGTCAAGGTCTCCGTATTAACATAAAGTGGCTTCATTTTTTTGGCCTTGTGGAAGCCACCGTCCTCAAGGGAGAGCTCCCCGCTGCTGCCGCTGCTCCCCTTTTTCCTGGGGTGCTGATCCTTTTTGCTTTCTGAGTAGCTTGAGGAACTAAAGGAAGAAAATGAGGATTTCTCCCCAGTCTTTCTGGGGGGCTTGGAGCCTGGTGCAAGGGGGGATGTGATGGCCTTCAGCAGGTCCATGGCTGTGTCGGAGGGTGGGGGACTTGGCACCACCTTCTTCTTTTTCTTCTGTGACGACTCCAAAGGCGAAAGATCTGAAAATCATCAAAAGTAAGGCAGTTTCAGAATGATGGAAGGCAACGTCTAATGTGCTCCCCATTCTCACCAGACACCCCACCAGCGGGAGGAAGAAAGAGGCCAACAGGAAGGGGAGAGGGGTGAGCCTCCAAATCGTACGCAGCACTCAGAAGTGAATGCCCACGCACATCCTGGCTTGGTGTGACCGCTTGCCTCTGGACCTGGGAGGCAGCGGGCCACTCAGGAGTCTTCGCAGGCAACCAAACAGAGCACACCCCAGAGGATGGAACAGAGCTGTGGGATTAAGGTAGGTTATAATTTAGAATTCAGAGTATCATCTGGCTTTGTGTCCAGGCCAAACCCACTGGGGAAAAGGGTTAGTCTCTTCAGCTGTGCTTATTACATGGCCAACAAAAACTGGTCTTAGTCAAGAGTGGCTATGCAGTTATGCTCCAGAAGAGGGAGAGGTGACCCACAGGTGCAGGCCAGAGGGCATGAAAACCACATGTGGCAAAAGGGGTGCTAGAGAGGAATGGGCAAAAGACAAGTGGATGGTGGGGAGGGAGAGGGAACCTGGTACCTGGTGTATCACAAATGAAGACTGTTCTTCTATGCTGAATCCTCCACAATCCCAGCCCTCCACCTCTCTCCTCCTTCACACTGGTTTATCGGCAATCAGAACAAGAACCACTGTCCTGTTAAATAGGCCACTGAGTCAGCAACATCTGGACCCCTTTCCCTTGCCCCGACTCCTGAGGTGCCCTCCTGTCCTCACCTCCATAGCAGGACTCGCCGGAGGAATGCTTCCTCCTCCTCTTGTGCGCGTCCGTGCCCAGGGAGAAGAGATCTCTCTCCTAGAACCAAGGGAGAGGAACAGGCATTGACGGCTGTTCAAGGAGGCAAGTCAAGAACCCTTCAGAAACCATGCTCTGCTCCCTGTCAATTCATGACTTTAGAAACAAATAAACAAAACAAAAAAGGAAAAAATAAAACACCATGGGAGACAAGTTCTCTCTTTGTTAGCTGTGAAACAGAGGACACGACCGCCCCTCTTCTGAAAGAGCAGTTGCTTACCTTCAACCTCTTCTTGGAGGACTTCCTGACCTGAGCAGCAATCTCTTCCTCTTCTCTTAAAAGATCCTTGTAAGAACGTTTCTTCTCTCGTTGGCTCCGGCCAGCCGCCAGTCCTATGTCCTCCAAACTCTGGTCACCATCAAAGCAATCTGAAAGCCACATGACCATTTGAGGAAAGAGAACATGGAAGTTTGATCAATTTTTCAACCGCCCCCCCCCCCCCCGCCCCCAACAAGGCTGCAGTCCCTCTGCTCCGTAATAATAATGGTTGATAATTCCACCAGAGGAAAGGGCCTGGGTCCAAGGAGAGGAGAGTATTTCTCCATCCCCCCAGAAGGAATACTACAGCCAACACCGGAGGTAGCACAAACCCCTAACGCCCACCCTCAGGTGGGGTCTCCTGTTCTCAGTTCTCGATCGGGCAGTGGTAAAGAGCACTGCAGGGGCAGGCCTGGAAGAATGAAGCTTAGGGCGCTCTGCTTCTGTGTGGGAGGCCAGACTGTGGTTCCTATCCCCAATCTCTTGCTCCATGGAGCTGGCAAGGTCCAAGAGTGCTGCAGGAGCTCAGCCCAGGAAAACAGAAGCTAACATTCCGTGCTCTCACGCTGGCCCCCCCGTCTTGCTTTTTCATCTCCACGGACCCAGCCAGGGAATGCTGCAGAGACTGGGCTTCCTAAGGACAGTGCTCAGGACCATCCTAGCAGAGAGCAGGCTGTGATTCTCAGTCCTGGCCTCTCACTCCATGGCCTATAGGCACTGAAGAGGGCAACCCCTCTGGAACGCTTCTCAGATTAAGGACTCATACCTTCTTTCTTCCTGGAGTCATCATAAGCCATGGCCGTCCTGCAGGACTTGAGAATGTGGCGCCGTTTCCAGACTCCTTCCCGGCTACAGGACCAGGCCTGAGAAACAAAGAACGAAAACCTTCCTGTGAGGGGAATCACTGTGGAGGCCAACAAAGCTTCCAGATGGAAATGAGTAGTCATCCACTGAAGGAAAGGGCAGCGAGAAACAAAGGGGCATCTTGTCCTCTCCTCACGCTACCTGTACATCTAGAGGGGTTCGGATTGCAGAAGGTACACCAGACCTAATCACGTGGCTTGATTCATAATATGGAGTTGTGCTTCTTGAAAGTAAAATTCCTATGCCAAAAAAGACCTATCAAGAGCGCCTGATACAACTGAGCGGGGTGAAAAGACCTAAAACAATGGGTTAGGTTCATTTCTGGCCACAGGCCCCAAAGATCCGGGAGGCTGTCGGACAAACGGCTCACACTGTGCATACTAAAGAGTGTAAGATCTTACAATGGTTGAAATGGTGACGGGAGGATCTACTGTATTGCAATTTCAATAGACAGGTGGATATCACTGCAGCGATGTTACATAGCTCTTTAGAACAGAATTTGTATAAAAGGATTTTGTCAGGCCAAGAAATTTATCAAAATAGTTGAAAAAGTGACTGACTCATGCTAAATGGCTCAATGGTATCTTTCAGCACTAGTCGAATGATTTTTGACTGGATTGTTTCAGCAAAAAGGGAGGAAGGTTGTTATTTTCTTGAATGGAGATGAATTTGAATCAGCAAAAAGCTGTTAAGATGGTCATGTATTACTAGCATTCATAGTAACTTGAAGCTTTATAAATACTTTAGAATTAAATGAAAAAGATCTACTAGGATTCAAGTTCACTAAGTTTTTTTTTTTTTAAATATCAAAGATGGCCCTGTTAATTTGTTAAGTACAGAAAAAACTCAAGTCTATCAAATATCCCAAGAGACATGACACATTACAAGAAAGCAACACACATATCATTGCAGGGGATTCCAAGCACTCTAGATACTCAGTATATTTACACTATATACTAGTCTATAAACTAGGTATATTTGAAATTTTCTCATGAAACCAGTAAATAACTTAGATCCTTACCCTGGCTTAGCAGTTATTTAAAATGTGAAGATTTAGACATTTTAAGGCAGCTTTACTAGGGAGTACTTATCAAGATGATGTTATAACGTTGAGGTTTACTAGATTAAAAAGAGGGGAATTAAAATTCTATATAACTGCTATATATGTGTGTATACACACACAGAGTCCTTTTTTTTAATCACTAGATTTAAATAAGATGCTGTGATGTGGAGAACACTTTATCAACAAACAAAAATGAAAAAAGATCTCTGCTCTCTCACAAAGTAGGAAGTGGAAATGACGAACAGACTTGTTGGAAGCCAGAGAAGTCAGACAGACTGACCCTACAGGGATTACTGGCCTCACCTTCTCATTTTTGGGAAAGAAGGTGAACTACTACTTTGGAGAAAGGAGGTGGGGCGGGCCATATGCAATGTTTCCTATATCCCTGAAGCTAGTATTGGATACCGCAGCTCTAAATCAGGCCCTGATCTCTTCACCTTTCCACCTAGCTAGTGATGGCGCCAATGGAATAATGAAAGGTCCTTCCTCTTTATTCCTCAAAAAAATTTAAAGCTATTTTATTAACTCCATATGTCACAAGATGATGAACTTGTCAGAAATACCTAATTTTCCTCTGACAAAGGTTTCCACTGCCAAAAAACACAGCAACTTGAGAACTAGGGGATAGTAAGACCCCAAGAGTCAATTCTGTTCAACTAAGTAAAACTGAAGAAAGCGAGGAGGGAAACAATCATGAAATATTCAACGGCACTGAATGTAGTCACTGACGTGTAAAGAAGAAAAAAGTCTCCTCTTTTAAATTTTAAAAGCTGGGACAAAGATAGAGCCTGGAAATTACCTTCAAAACCTCATTTGTACGTCAAAAGGCCAGATAACAGGTTCCATAGTGGGAACAGGAATATTCAGGAAAAGCCTAAGAAAGAACAGGGTGGAAATAATTTATGTGGCCTATAAAAAAGCATTTCTTAAAACTGCCAGTAGATTTAAAAAATTTCTTGGGATGAAAAACAGATCAACAAGGAGCTACTCATGTCAGGAGAGGTAAAAACATTACTTTGTACACTGTTACTAGGAATCCCACTGCTACATGTTTTTTTTTTTTTTAACAACATGCAGATGTAATCTAATAAATTAGAAAAAGATGCTGAGATGACCAACATCTCTTTAAATAAGAAAGTAGGGCCTGAATTTGGAAATCTGCAATGAGACGCACACTGGACTGTTTTAGCCGTAATGTTGAGAAATTAATTTTTACCATCTTTAAAAACAACATATTAATCCAGTATGCAGCTGTTAGCTTTGTTTGCTGATTGCCAGAAAGAAAAGATGGTACTGGGGGGATAAAGTCTTAGAGATCAGTGTTAAAGAAAGGTAGAGACTAGTTAATCTATGATCAGTTGATATCATGAGTTCCCTAACAGGACTTGGATTTTCTGATAAATGGAGGGAATTAAACTCAGGGGGAAGATCTTGAGGATTACAAATTCAGGAAAAATGTTCAAAAGATTAGTTTTGTCTTTCCTATCAGAAAACAGGGGGCTTAATTAGACTAATGGTTGGTGAGCCTATAAAATGGCAAAAACACATCTGGGAATTCCTTAAACTTGGAGATGAAGATCAAACTTCTTTGGGCTAAGAAAATACAACTGACCCTCAAGACAGGAGAGAAGGTGAGACTGTAGAGGGGCAAAAAGCACTTTAAGCCCTTAAAAAGACACTTCTGAAAAATGTTTAGGAAGTTCTATGGATCCTCCGGCATTTTTATACAAGATGTGCAAAGGGGGTCATTTGAGATGCTATACTTTAAATAAAAAACCTAGACTTACGATGCTAAAAGTTTCTAAATTTGATTTAAAAATAATTTAAGTCCCAGCTAACATTAAAAGCTTTTTCTTCTTGGGGTTTTAACTGATTATGGCAAAAGAACAAAGTCAAATCTATCAATTGGACATTTTAAGGGAGATCCAGGAAGTGCTGAGAATCAAGATGCTGTCTCCAAACTGCCTCCTTTTCTTCCCAAGCTCATCTTTTGGAGCCTGTGCATGTTGGCCGACACGGCTACAGACGCTTCCTCCAGCACATCCAGAGTCTCTGTGAGCTCCAAAGTGCACCTCTCCGATGACTTCCAGGGGCATCTTCTCACTTCTGTCCCAGGTTCTTCTCATCCTTGCACAGAATTCCAGCCTTCAGCCAGGCCTCACTGCTTTCCCTCGGGATCTCTGCAGCACTCCCAGCCCTTACCAGCTCTGCAAGCTTCTGAACTACAGACAAGTTGGGATAGGGACAGATGTCTTTGTACCCAGAAGAGGCACAGCTAGTACCAACAACTCATTAGTAAGGGAAATGAGAATTTATGGCAATAGTTTGTTTAAAAACATTGCCAAAAAACCTCCACCAATACAAATTTTGCCTAATAAACAGGCTTTGTTTTATACTCAGGTAAGTTTCATTTCTCGAGTTGTAAAGAGAATGTGAAATCAGCTGAGACTAGCTTGGCCAACAGAGGGTAGGAAGACGAATCCTTCCTCTTAGAGTATACGATACCATGCAATACGGTATTATATTCTGTGAGAGGAAATTAAAACATGATTTCTGTCCTGCAAATAGGTAACCCCACGAGTGAAGCATGTTCAAAGTACACTGTAGAAGAAAATGCCCACAAAATCTATTATTTATGCAAATACTTGAGGTACCATTGTACCCCCCACCAAACCAGGTGCCTGGTGGCCACCTCTGCAGCATTGTCAGACTAGCAAAGGTTGAGGACAAGGGAATGGAGAGAGCGCTTCCATTCTTCTCTCTATGTATCACCGCACACACAGCACAGCAGCCTTGGAAGGGATCTCAGAAATGACCTAGCCCAACCTCCTCAATTTACAGAGGCCCCAGAGAAGGGGCGTGACTTGCCCTACTGTCAAGGGCTCTTAACTTTTTCTGTGCGTGGATCCCTTTGGGTAGGCTGGTCAAATTTTTATGGACCACTTCTCAACACTGTTTTTAGATGCACAAAATAAAAGGCATAGGATTACAAAGCAATTACATTGAAAAATCGATGAAAACATATTTTTAAAAAGTTCATGGATCTTGCGTGAAGAACCGCTGCCTTACATTCCAGTTTATACTAATTAATTCATCAATTCTTAATCACAGAATCTGGAGCTAGGAAGGATCTTAGAGATCACCCAGGGTCCATATGCTTTTCTAGCATACATCACCTGAGGTTTTTCTTTTACTCCATCCTATCCTTTTCTCCTATCAGCCCAGCTCAGTTGCCTTCCCTATAGCAGCATTTAATAAACGTGTGTTAAAATTACTCCACTCCAGTCCCTTGCATTTTATAGATGAAGAAACCAAAGAGCAGAAGAAACTGACTTGTCCAGTCGTGACCTAGTGTGCTGGACAGCATGAGATCTGGAGTTAAGAGATGTGTGGTCAAATCCTAGCCCCAGCACTCAATCCCTGTATGATCTGAGGCACATCCTTTCTCTTTGTCCAGGTCTTATTTTCAATCTGTAAAATGAAGGGCTCCAATGAATGAAGTTGGACTAATGAATCTAACTAGGCTAAATGGTGGGCAGATTTCAAGGGTTCCAGGAACCTGAATGGGAGAAAACATTATATCTTCATTTCAATATAATTGCTTTCATTCAATATAAGTGGCTTCTTATTTTATGCATTCAGAAACATTATTTTAAGAGGAACAAAGTACGACCAAACCATCAGAGGGCTCTATAACACAAAAAAGGTTAAGAACTACTCTAAGGATTTCCTCCCGGTTCTATATGGAAATACAAAGTATTTAGTGGAAGGGCAAATAAGAAGCAAGCCTGATGGGAGAGTGAGCATGAGTTCATGAGGAAGCCTTCAGGCACTCAAAACCCCCAGGAAGGACCAAGGTTACAAGGACTTACTAGTATTAGAACTTTCCAGAGAATGAATGACCTCCCGGGACAGCCCCCGTGATAGAGGTCATCAATCATAGCTGGATGGCCAGCCATTTGTTAGCACACTGGAGATGGACTGCAGCTCAGCTCCAGGCTGGCCTCTTTACCCTCCGAGTTCCCTTCCAACCTTTGAACTGTGTCTATGAAGCAGCAGGATTCAAACCCAGAGCAGCTAGCTCCATACTCAGTCCTTTCTCCCGTACCTTGCTGCCTTCCCTGGGGTGAAAACAAAGCTCCCAAATTACCCAGGGAGGCAGCTGACTAGATGCAAAGCTTTGTGTACAGAGGTCCTGGGTGCGAGGACCTTGGCTCTGCCACCTGCTCAATCCAAGAAACCTTTATTAAATGCCTACTGTGTGCCAAGAGCTGTGTTAGGCCCTGGAGACACCAAGACAAAATGCCTTCCAAACCCGACCCCCAGTGAAGGGGATCGTGACCTCGAAGCTCCCTCCCGGGGAGAAATCCTAGGATCTAGCTCTGGAGACAAGGCTAGCACACACAGTGCGGGGAATGCACCTCTTCTCTCAGGTCTAGTTACTGACGTGTTCGTTAGGCACGTCGCCGAAGATGGCGGCTGCACCCAGGTGAACATGTGTCTCAGCATGCAGCGAGGCTGGACCACCGCCTGGCCACACAGTCACCCTGAAAGCCCCCTGGGGCGGCTTCCTAGAACCCAGGCCATCTTCATGGAACCGCCAGGCACTGGAGCAGGGCTCCAGGTGGAGAAGGTCTTCAACTAAAGTACAGGGCGAACTCCTTTTCCCCATCTAGGGGCTAGGATTAGGGTATCTCTATTAGATCCTGTCCACCTCAGAACTGATGCTCTTTATGAGCCAGGAGGCTGGGAATGAAAGCATCTGATTCTAGTCTCCGCCCCTCCCTGTTTGTCTGTTTCTCCCGAGCACCGGTGCTCCATAAATGCTTGATGCATTAGATTGCCCATCTGTAACAAGAAGGGTGTAGATCCGGCTCTAAGTCTGTGACCCCCTAGAAGAGGATCAGAATCCCCGCTCCAGGCCTCACCCATGAGATGAGAGGGTGGCCTGAGACGACCTCTCTAGCGCCTGCCAGCTCTAACTCTGGGCAGGATCCCGCCAGCCTGGCCGAGGGAGGCTCAGTTCTGGTCCCTTCTCTGGGGCCTGGTCTTTGTCTTTGGATCTCCAGTGCTTAGGACACCATGGGCGCTGGAAACAGGCTGAATCCAGCTGTGTTTCCCATGGGGGCTTTTAAAAGCCCTTCCCAGTGCTATGATCTGCCGGCCTGGGGAGCAGAATCCTTGCATTTCTGTTCGGTGCCCACTCCTTCCCCTTTTTGGCTTCATTTGCCCACCTGAAAAACAGGTCTGGGCCAGATTATCCTTAAAGTTTCATCCAGCTGGGAATGGAAATTAGGATAGATGAGTTCCGGTCCCTCCTTTGGGCTAACGGAAAAAATCTGAAGTTCGAATATGACCCGCTACCACCTTCTACCTGGCTGCCCTTCAGCAAATTGCTCGCCTTCTCCAGGCCTCAGTTTCCACATCTGTACCACGAGGGACTGGAGGAAGTACCAGGGTTCTAAATCTAAGACACCAGGCCTAGTTTCCCCACCCGTTAAATGGGAGGCTGGACCTAGAAGTTCTCTAAGGTCCCTTTCTAGTTCTAAATCATGACCCCCTGGCTAGGTCTCAAGCTTCCTCATCTGTAAAATGAGGAGGTTGTACCAGATAGACTCTAAGGGTCTTCCACTTCTGAGTCTACAGTTCTATGGGAACAGAAGACTGATTCATTCCACACGCCTTCCCTTTTCTGTGCCTGTTTCCTGGTCTGTAAAATGAGCAGGGTGGCCTACATAACCACTGAGGCGCTTCCAGATTTAAATCTATGATCCAAGACCCCTCCGGGCCTCAGTTTCCCCAACATTAAACAGGAAGGTGGGACTTCAAGGCCTCTAAGAACCCTTCCAGCAAAAAGCCTGTGGTTCTATAGCCCTTTCTGTGACTCAGTTT